AGGTGATGTTTATGGTCTTCTGTGCATGACCAAACCATTTAGATTACTTTTTTTTTTTCATTTTATCACCTATTGGAGTTGCTTCTAGGTTCCTATAGATGACTTCATTTCCGATCCTATCCTTTATAGCTTTTTTCCATTGATCCATCTTAGCATTCACATTTATGCCATCCTACCCTAATTCTTTGGGTATCATTCTCATCAATCTTTCCCTTGTTATGTTTGAACTTTGAACCATGGTACCAGAAAATGGTTATATTGAGTTATCTCTTAATCTCTAATCCTAAGTTTACCTTAATTTACATTCATATTATTACTAAATTTACATGTCATATACTCTGTTTGTCTTATTTTAAAACCTTGTGTTTCTAAAATTTATCCATAAGCTTAATTTTGTATTTAATCCTTTATAAGTTTCATCAATTACAACAATATCATCTGCAAACATGTATCATGAAACTTCCTCTTGGATATATTTAGTCATACATCTATGATGAGTGCAATGCTTGTAGAAAATGAGATGTGTTTAGGGATGGCAATTTCTACCCTACCTAATGGGTATCTGCCACTACCCACCCCAAAGGGGCATGTTTTTTGCTTGAAGGGTGGATTTTGGGGAAAGGATAGGTTTTGGGATTCTACAACCTATATGGGTACAACTACAATATGGTATTAGGCTAAACTCAACCCTTTATTTTGCGTATTTATTTCTTATATATAACAAGAAATAATAATAAAATAAATAGATATGAGTTTTAAACCCAACCTGCCTTACCCTTGAATGCAGAGAGGACAGGGTTAGGGAGGGTTTTGCATTTCCATTTGCTAGGAGGGTTTGGATTCTTAAAATCCAACCTACTATCAGTTCTGGGGTGGGTATGAGTTGGGAGGTTTAGGGAGGTAGGTAGGGCATAGAATTTACAAAACCCTCCCCAAACCCACCCCGTTGCCATCCCTAGATATGCCCAAGCTTGCTTTTGGGAAAAGTGTAAATGGTGGTTCAATTTTGCATGTATTTGGTAAATACGTATTTATATATTGATAATGGCAGCAAACATGGATTCCAAAACATATTTATATTCAAAAGGATGCAAATATTTCAACTCAAATTGCTCAAGGTAAAAAAAGTGGATTTTGGTCTCGGTATTTGCATTAATCACAATTAAAAATTATTTGGTAAAAATACAAAACTAAACCAACTTTGGATTTTTTTTAACAAACATTTATTTTTGTATCAATCATTTCTGTATTTGTCATTTTCCCAACTGCAGCCCAAATCACTTTTCATTTCTCCTATAAAAATTATATTTAATTTTTGAAATTAAAATGGAGTTTTCACTATCGCTCCTACTCATGACATGGCGTAGCATTCCCTCTTTGGATTATTATAAGGGTAAATTACTGAAGTTTGAAATACCCAACTTTGACCATTTAAATGGTAAATTGGCTTCTAAATTTGGCCTTCCCTATTACACTAACAATAAAATTCGTGATTATTTCTACAATTTTTGTATAATTTGTTGAAATGTATATTTTTGATTTTTTTATTATTTTCTTTGTTTTTATGCAGATTTTGCCTTTTTAAATTGATACATATATATATATATATATATATATATATATATATATATATATATAATCATCTTATGTATTTAAAAGTCACATGTAATTTTTTTTTGAAAATTTTATCACTATTCAAGCAGAATGTAGATGACTTTTTTCAAGGTATTTTGGTTAATATAAAACCACACATTTTAATCCAATGGGCAATCTTGACATTTAAAAATATTGAAATGATGGCATTAGCGGTTTCCATTAACATTCTAGTGGTTGTTTGGTATTAATGGTGTTTATAAAATAAACGATTTGTATGATTTTTTTATACCTCAACCCCATTAGGTGCCATATAAGCCAAGCAATTAAAAACGGTCTTGAAAATGAAAACGTCATATTTAACATTTTCAATAAACAGCTCTCATGATTTTCGCGTCATTTATCTAGTAAACGTCTCAATCAAATAACTTTTGAGCAAATTTCTTAAACTACTCCTAAGATTTAGGAAATTGACCAACTCTACCCCTATTGTTTCAGTATTGTCTTAAAGTACTCATATTGTTTTTGACAATTGTCTAAAACCTCCCCTACACTTTCCATTACACTTGATCATATATGACATCACATGACTAATTTATTTCAAAATTTTCAAAAATACCCTTTGTCTTTCTCACACACTCTCTCCTCACCTCCTTCACACACAGTGAGCTATCAATGAAGCCATTGACGTCGCTGCAACTTAGGCGGTGATTCTTCTCTCTCATCTCTAGCTTTGGTTCTCTCCTGGTCTCTCTCTTTTTCGTCGAAAACAAAGCAAAACAACTTCATTGAAGTGGCTTGGCTGGTCGCCATGGTCGTGACATGCTATACATGGAGCTTCTTCTCTCTCATCTCTAGCTTTGGTTCTCCCCCAATCTCTCTCTCTCTCTCTCTCTCTCTCTCTCTCTCTCTCTTTCTCATTGGAAATAGAGCAGTATGACTTTGTTGAGGCGGCTTTGGCGCAACTAGGGTTTCACAGCTAGGAGCGAGCAAGCGAGTGAGCGAGTGAGCGAGTGAGAGAGAGAGTGAGTGAACAGGTTGAGAGAAAAATCTGAGTAGAATTCGTGGACCATATTTGTCTTCAAAAAAATCTGAGCTGATCAATTGATCCGACAAAATGCTTTTGCACATCTTAGGGTCCGCTTAGTTTGCAGTCGGAATCAAAATTGAAATCCTCCAGAATTGGAATCGGAATGGTCCATTCCCATAATCTGTTTGGTTCAGACATGAATGGGAATGTGAATTAAAATTAATAGGAATGGGATTTCATTCCTAAGGGAGGGGCAGGGAATGGTCGTTCCCTCAAATGGGGGAATGTCATTCCAGTAGGAATAGGAATGGGATTCTGATTCCACCCAATCAAACAATTGGAATCGAAATAGCCTATTCCAATTCTAATTCCATACCCCTATTCCCGCAAACTAAACGCGGCCTTAATATATCCTCTTCTAATGACTCAAAACCCTCTCCTGTTTTATCCCAATCCCATTAAAAATTGGCACTTGCCGACGATCTCTCCTTCTTATAGGTTTCGACCTTTCGGCTTTCTACCTTCTGCATTCTCCATTCTTTTTGTACTCTTTTTCTTTTCTATGTTGTATTTTTCATTTTTGGGACTTTGTTTCCATCATGACATCTCTTCTGGCGCTTGTTTAGGAGACAATTGACTGTTAATTCAATGGTGGTGGCGGGATATAATTTCAATTACCTTTTATTTGACCATTAGACCTTTTACATACAATTCCTTCTTATTTACTTAATATCAATTAGGGGTGAGCATTATTCGGTTAAAACCAAAATATTAAACTGAAAATTTTGGTTTTGGTTTTTTAATTTGGTTTTTGGGTAATTTGATTTTCAAAGTTAAAAATTTGATTAACCAAAAAAATCAAATTAACTGAAATTTATATAATATGTAATATATAATATATAATATATAATATATAACATTTAATATATAATATGCTATATATTTATATATTAATATATAATATATTATAATAAAATTCAGTTTCATAATATATACATTATAGGTTATGATATATAATATTATATATATTAATTAAATTCATAATGACGATGATGGACATGTTGTAGAAGCAACACTTTATGTTTTAACAATCCGAATCCACATAGGGATAGGGCCATGTTAATAGACCATTCAAGGCTGGTAATATTGACGGCAGGATTTCTAAATTCTAATATGGAGAGGAGACGGCGATGACTTACCATTGCACCACCAGACGAAAGTTGCAGCGGTTGTTGCATGTGACTCTATGTGAGGATGCTCTTCTCCACTCTAGCAGCGGCATATGTCTTCTCTAACTGGAAACATCTCTATGTCTATTATGTTATATATAGGGTCAAAATAGTAATTTATTATTTGACACCCTTTCTTAATGTAAGGGTAAAAATGATTTTTCATACATCTTTATTATGATTTACAACACTAAATCAGTAGAGGTAGAGTTAATCAATTTCCTAGGGATAGTTTAAGAATTTTCTTGTTAAATGCATCTCTATGTTAAGCTGGCACCATTGCCGGAAAAACTACGGCCCTGTTTGGTGCGTCTTTCTGCGTGGTTTTTCGGTTGCTTACAAGTCGGGAAGACCAAAAATCCGTCTATTCCTGTTTGGCACGTGGAAGATCTCGCCGCCAAAAGATGGGGCGCCAAAAAGACGTGGGAAACTCATTTTGGGCTGATTTCGGGAAGCTCCAAATGAAGTTTCCCATGTCTTCCACATTTTAATCTCGCACGGAAAGACCTGAAAAGACACACGAAAAGATGCATATTTGCCAAACAATCTTTGAACTATCCAGATCTTATATCAAAAGCTCAATACGTCTATTGACCGTCAAGCTAGGAGAAGATATTCTCAAAAAGAATTGCCAAACGGGCCCTACATCGATACCAATTAGGAAACACTGTCCTAATGTTAGATAGAGGAGACGTGGATGCAATAAATTCATAAAGTTCAGGGGGGACAGTACTATTAATATAAAGTATAGTAATGAACCTCAACTGTCATAAAACACAAATAGGTTACTTTATGTTAGTTGCTAATACAACGGTTTAAATGCAACTTAAACCGTACCGTCAATTGGATACCGTTATTAGCTAAGGGAAAGGATGTGGATGCAATAAAGTCAGGAGGTTTAGGGGGGGATAGTATTATTAGCACAAATTATGGTAGTGAACCGCAATTTTCAGAATGTACAGTGAAGTTTCAGCAATTTATTTATTTATTTTTTTAATGCAACGTGAAACACTCAAATAGGGAGAGAGAAGTAAAAATTTCACCATTTCACAGTCCCACCAACATATGAAACATGGCAAAATAATATTCGTTTTCGTAGAAATTTAAACATAAAAAAGCTAAGGACGGTCAAAGAAGTTTTCCTATTACAGCTCGTCTCTCGTCCTCTCTCAGGAGTGAGGAACGAGATATTTCAGAATTTCCACCTCTCTCGTTCTCTGTGTCTCCGATTACTTAGTGTTAGGACAGGTCTCCCTATTTTATTTTTAATCAAGTTTAAGTTTAGTAATTAGTAATTAGTGCCCTCCCCGCCTTTGAAGCCCTTCCGCTTCTCTTATATAAACCCCTGTCCTCCTTGCTTTTGGAGAGCCAATTTCATCTCTTCTTCTGTATTTGTCTTTCTGAGATAAATAATGGATTTCTCTAGTTCGTCCCTTTCTTCCATGGTGCCAGTCGTGGTCGTCCTCTTGCTTTTGTCCTTGGCCATGTCTTCCGCCATGGACATGTCGATCATAAGCTACAACAAGGAGCATGGACTAACGTCCGGTGGGAGGACCAATGAACAAGTTAAGGCTCTTTACGAGACTTGGCTCGTCAGACACGGTAAGGCTTATAACGCTTTGGGGGAGAAGGAAAAGAGGTTCGAGATCTTCAAGGATAACCTTAAGTTCATCGACGAGCACAACTCTCAGAACCACACCTACAGGCTGGGTTTGAACCGGTTCGCCGATCTCACCAACGCCGAGTACCGGGCTTTGTATTTGGGCAAGAAGCCCAACCCCAACAAGAGGGATTCCAGGGCCAAAAGCAACCGATACGCTTTCCAGGCCGACGACGACTTGCCTTCGTCCGTCGATTGGAGGGAAAAAGGTGCCGTCGTTCCCGTCAAAGATCAGGGCAGTTGTGGTGAGTGCTGACCGCCAAGTCTCTCTTAATTAATTAATTATTTATTTTTTATTCTGTTTCCTTTCCACTTTCCTCCCTCAGTTCCTGTTCATGCATGTTATCTCCTTTTCCTCGATGAGTAAGTAAAGGCTTTAAATTACCTTAATACCCTTACCAAGGTTATTTCTAAATTCTAAAGGTCTTTATTGTAATTTTAACTATCTAGGTTTAATTTAATTATTTGGATTAGGAGGGAGTAGGGACTAGGGAGAGTCCACCACCGGTCCTTTTTTTTTTCGGTAAAGCCCCTCTGCCCACCACCAATCCATCTCCCGTCCACGATCAGAAATTCAGAACTCCCTGCTTTGCTTTATTTCAATTTTTTCGGGTTTTGATGACAGAATTTTCTCTAACTACGAGGTCGTTTGATAGCGCCTAATGTCGGATAATTTCTGACGTCCAAGAAAAAAAGTTATAGAGAATTTTCTGTTACTGTGACTGGTGAGAAATATAGGTCGGACCGCCTGCCAACTACCATTCGTGCCCGGTCGGCTCCCTGTGGGCATCTGTTTGTCGCTCGCTCTTAATTAGTAATTACGAATTTAATTTAATGTTTAATCAATAATTAATTAGTTTTTATATAAAAAAATAATTAAGGGAGTTGCTGGGCGTTCTCGACCGTTGCGGCGGTGGAGGGGATAAACCAGATCGTGACCGGCGAATTGATATCGCTGTCGGAACAGGAGTTGGTGGAGTGTGACACATCGTATAACCAGGGATGCAACGGAGGCCTTATGGATTACGCCTTCGAGTTCATCATCGAGAACGGCGGCATTGATACCGAAGAGGATTACCCCTACACAGGTCGCGACGGCCAATGCGATACCTATCGGGTTAGTTTCTCTCCCTCTCTCCAAGTTCATTTCTTCTTCTTTTGTTTTTTTTTTTCCCATTTTGGATTTAAATTGTATACCCAATAAGCATAATATATCTTGAAGATTAGAAATTAATATAATCCTGGGTTAAATACTTGAATGAATTCAGTGGAACTGGATTGTCAATGTAATTAACTAATGAAAGATTTTGTTTTTAATGCAGAAAAATGCACGTGTTGTTACAATTGATTCGTACGAAGATGTTCCGGTGAACGACGAGAAGGCCTTGCAGAAGGCGGTGGCACATCAACCCGTCAGCGTTGCCATTGAAGCTGGTGGCAGGGCCTTCCAGCTCTACCAGTCCGTAAGTCAACAAACTACCCTCTCTTTTAATTTGCACATTTGTTAATTGAATTTTTATGCATAGGCTCAGGCGAGTTGAATTGGACCAAACAAGGATGATCCCTCGCACTGGATTGAGCCTTCCACCGGGGGTGGGGGGGACTTGTGGCTTTCTATCTGTTACATATTCTATGATATCTCCTGATCAAATGGTCATGGTTTATTTCATTTAATTGAATTCTTTAGTTCGCACTGCCTATTGTTGAATGGTGATTGATCTGAATCCAAATTTTCTACCAAGTGCTGAAGAAACGTACTTGGTTATCCAGATTTCCAGAACCCTTTTGTATTTTAGTAGCAGTGATGATTCTTTTTCTTGCAACCAAGAAATTAAACCATTGACATTTTTATATGGGAAAAGTAATATTCAACTCAAAGAAATAAGAAATTAAGCATCACATTTCATTTGTAATGGAATTAAGGGTAAGCCTTGATCATTTTCATCTCCAGGGTATATTCACAGGACGATGTGGAACAGCGCTGGACCACGGTGTGATCACAGTAGGATATGGCTCAGAAAATGGTGTAGACTACTGGATTGTCAGGAATTCGTGGGGTAGCAGCTGGGGTGAGGAGGGGTATATTAGGATGGAGCGTAACCTGGCCAGCACAGATAACGGCAAGTGCGGAATTGCAATGGAGGCATCGTATCCCATCAAGAAGGGACAGAACCCTCCTAACCCAGGCCCTTCTCCCCCCTCTCCGGTGACGCCCCCCACCGTCTGTGATGGTTACTACTCGTGTCCTGAGAGTAACACTTGCTGCTGTGTCTACCAATTTGGCAGCTTCTGCTTTGCATGGGGATGCTGCCCACTAGAGTCTGCTACCTGCTGTGAAGACCATTACAGCTGCTGCCCACATGAGTTTCCCGTTTGCAACATTGATGCAGGGACCTGCCAATTGGTATATATCATTCACTTACTGTTTTATGTTTTTTTATTTTACTATTTTGATCACTTGTGTACAATTAATATATATATTAATGATGGGAAATATATCGATCATATCTAACTTTCTTTTCATCATCATCATCGTCATCCCCCAAATGCAACAGAGCAATAACAACCCCTTGGGAGTCAAGGCATTGAAGCGCACTCCTGCCAAACCCTTCTGGACTTTTGGGAGTGCAGGACGTCGAAAGAGCAGCAGCCGTGCTTAGAGAATTCTCTCTGCGTGTGTGTTCTGGGCCGGCCAGGAAGAAGCTAGAATGACAAGGGTGCAATGAAAGAATGCGATTGCGATTAGCATGATGAACAACAGCTATATTACTAGTGATGATCTTCCTATATCCGGCTTGGTTTAAGATTGCACAAGGATGGATGATTCTGATGTAGAGTTCTACATGAATCATGATATAATATTTCCTCATTGCACACCCCTACACCCCTACTGGTGGGTGGGGTATTGTAGTATATATATTTTGTATATATGATATTCACCAACTACTGCAATTATTTGATGATGAATTAATTGTCAATCCATATTCTGTCAGGTCTCCAATAATTAATTGTTTCTGTGGCCTTGTTTAATTTTCCTTGTTTGGGCAGCCATCGTTAGTTGTTTTCTTTTTTATATATGATATGATGAATTATTGGTACTTGTCTCAATTGTCATCTTATATTTTATATTGCACATATCACATGTGCACACATGACGGTTCTCCTCTGACAAAGAAATCAAAATCTTTTCAGTTGCTAAAAACTCAATTAATTGGGGGCTTCCTTTCAACCTTCAGCACATGGATTAAATTGAAACTTGATTAATGGAATTGTAAGTAACCTAATAACTACTCTTGGCAACTTACAGCTTAATGCACTCAAGGATGATGACCAACTCTGCCCTCATGAAATCCTTGATATGACAACACATTATGACATCAATAGTCTCCAGCGCAAGTTTTTTAATTAAATGGCGTGGGTAATGCTGTATCTAATGTCTGTTTTGTGAAGACAATGCCATCTGTAAATTAAGAGAGGTACTATCATTTATTTCATTTAACATAATCATTTCACTTAATCTTAATTGGAAATGTTCATTGATAACATATTTTATATTTTTTGAATATATTATTCTTTATCTCTTCTTTGTTGTTTGTCACCCATAGTGTTATGGGCCCGAGCGTAGGATCGCGTCATGGGTCGTTCCACGGCAGGAACCCCTGATCTTCCCTTGCCTTTGGCCTTGCGCACAGACCCTATTTTGCCTATCTAGTGGGTGATTTGTCCAAGAGACCACCCGAACTCTCCCTTGGGGTGATTTGTCGAAGAGACCACCCAAACTCTCCTCACTCTTTTCTTGGCTGGAAACTAAATAATGTTTTATTTCAATTCGTAGCTCCTTAAATAGGAGATTACA